ATTGCTAAAACGATTCGAAGGTCTTCTGCAAGATCTTGCAATCATTGACGGTGATCAGGTCAATGCAGCGCATAAACGTATTGCATAGCCAACACACCAGAGGACATCAAAATCGAAGAAATAAACGTTTGACATATTAATAAATATAGTACTATTAGGAAAATTAGTGATGCTCATCTTGCATCATAAGGATGAGATTCTGCGTGAGCTTATTCGGCTTTCCATAAGGCATTTCGCTATTTAATATCATTCGGGCGATCAACTCGAAGGTAAACACTTACAAACCACGAAAGGCAGGACTTACAGAATCAATTTTAAGTCCTTAATATTTCTGTGTGAGCAGCATACGGCGTCATAGCGGATGATATCATCATCCCAATTTGTTCACACAATGCATACAAATAATTTTGGAATCGGAACCTTCTTGTTCATTTCGAAAATTTGTTCTACTATTGTTTCAACCCCATTCTCAGTTTGTGATGATCTTCGCTTCAGAATGCAGTGGCGGATTTTGTTGCGTTGGCTCGCATACTCATTAGTTCAAACGATCTCCGGCGTTCAAATCTCGTGACTTTGGGGAAGTGAAGTTTGATGGCGGTGTTTTGTTTAAAGCGTCCACACGGAAACTGGATGTCTGTTTTGCGGACTGGTGACCTTAAATAATGCTTTAATCTGCGTGGGCGGAAAAACAGCCCAAAATAGCCAAACTCTTAGCGTCTCAGGGTTCGTCCGTTCGTCAACTTAATGCAACTCAAATTCTTGTTCCTGCAATTTTGCAAGTAACTTGTTCTCTGATTGGAGTTGAGTTGTTGGCGCAAGACAAAGCCCATGCCTATCTTGGTTCTTTCCACTTAGTTGTTGTTCATCATTTCCTAACAATTTTATGCTTTCACTTTGTTCCGTAAATTTTTATGCGTCAAACTTTGTAACTGTCAAATCACTTGGCATTTATCAACTTCTTTGGAAACGGCTACTTTTCTCTATGGGTGTCTAAGCGTTATTTTCTTACTCAAATTACTGGAGCTCAGTAAAATTCAACTTCCTCATTCCCACTCATCCCTTGTACCAACCCACAGGTCAATGTAATCTGCTTGTTTCTTTTTCGTAACATGTTTAGCTGTGCCGAATTCCTCTTTCGATGTTTCCTTTTTTCCACAAGTCGTAATAAAGTTAATTGTGCAAAACCACACAATCGCTTACAAACCGTAAACCCTATCAATTACGGAAATTGCAATTCTCACACTCGGCTCAATGTCACTGGGGCCTTTACTTATGAAGCGACAAATAAAAAAAATCCGGTTTAAATTACCATATTTAATTTCGCTTTTCACCGACTATAAGAACTAATCTACTGGGAAGTGTGATTAATTTATGCAGTTATTTGCCCTAGCAGGTTCGCTATATTGCATATTAATTTACTCTAGCTATTAGACGAGAATAAAACAAAAATAACGCACGTTTTGGTTGCAGTGGAAGAAACAGTCTTCAACCTCGAAGAGTTAAGTTATTTACTCCAAATTCGTGTTAATCGGCATGATCAAACTCAAAACCATCTCCAGCCTACATAATTTTGCTCTCACCCCCGCCAACCATGATACCTTTGGAGCTTTTTCTACTGAAAAGGAATCACGTGATTAACTGATATGCAAACAGAAGCCTAAGCCGACCGCATAATTCCGGAGCAGCGATCTGACCTCATGGCCACGCACAGTACCAAGCCAAACTATTTTGCATACCAAAAACCTATTGGACACAGCTAATCGTGTTCAGCCCTGAAGGCCTTGCTTACCAAATTAGCAGGATGAATCATCACAAGCTTCATTTTTTGATTTGTATCTACCGCGGTCATGTCAACCCGACATTCGTGTTATTTATTTGCAGCGAAATAGTTAGAAATAGTTTTATCAGCTAAAACAAATTATCCGTTCTTCAATATTCCTGTCATGTAAGTACATTTTTATTTACTCAACTCACACTTATTGCGATGGAAGATCCGACGCTAAAAGACCTTTCCGTTTCAAAGAAAACAGCAGTCGAGGTGTGAATTAAAAAAACCCTCAGATTTTTATGTCCCGTTTTCGTAAACATTAGACCATGCAACCGCTATTCTATCGCTGATGCGATTGTGATTTACAAACGCAGCTTTTACTTCAAAGTAAAACACTGTGAACACTTATTTCCTGCATTCTTAAATCAACTTCACATTTCAGTTTCCGCAGAAACAGTTCCCGTGCAACTAACTTAGGCATCTAAACGAGTGATTTATTTCGTAATTCGCGCATCCAGTGAGCGGCAACAATGTGAGTGTCACTGCGGAATGCACCCTCGAGTGGAGGGATGAGTGGTCTGCGGGAATAAAGAAAACCTAAAGACACGATGACCGGGGGTTGTACTGCGGAGATGACTGAGTGAAGGGTTACAATCAACTACTATGCGTCGATCTCTAAAACGGTAAAAGCGACTAATTTTCGAATGCTCACTGACAATCGAAACAGGAAGCTGATTTGTGTACGTCCTTATTTCTTAATTCATGTTATACAACTATATCAGAGCTAATTAAATTCGTTTGAGTACTGTTTGCGATGAAGATACCTGGAGCAGAATAATCTCTCCTTTAACTTTTTTGAACCTAAAGTGCTCCGCGTTCTGACCCCTGACTCGCATACCGTCGAGATGTGCGCCGCGAAGCAATTCGACAATATTAGGCTCCGAGAACATGATGGCCAACATAGCTGGAGATGATCGTAAACCACATGAAGCCGTTTCAGAAGCCTTAAGGGGAGTCAACAGAGATTTGGGGGGAGTTTGTTAAGTGGCGTATTGCGGTGTGTGAGTTAAAATGTGGCCAATTCCACAACTTCATCCACGTCATACCTTTGTAATGAAAAATTTACCGTGACCTACATGAGCAAATAGCACGTGACGATTATAATCTAAGAGGTCGTGACCGATTAAAAATTTGTTTGCACGTGATTAGCGACATCATAACAAATTAGGCCACCAAGGGAACTAATTCTACCTAACAAATAAAAGAGGATCAAATAGACCACGACCAAACAGCAAGGTTACTCCGGCGTCAGATTGCCAACGTCGATGTGGGATTCTCATCGCGAACGCTGCATAAACTAACCGCTCGGAAGCAATACCGGTGATTTTGTTGGCCATCCACAATGCCGTGAAAGCATACTATTTTACTAGCTAATTTTTGCGCTCACTTCGGACGCAGTAATTTACGAGAAATTGGCGTAGGCGTGAGCTAATAATAGGTCAGTCTATTTTTGAGAGTGGGTACAACCAAAAGCAATCAACGCGTCCCCACACCGTGTTAAGTCGATGCCCGCCTTATGGCAACATTTCAGACAGATTTATTTCGCTCACCTGTGAAACCCAATCGCTACGCGCCGGCAATGAAATCTTACGTATAGCCTGCACGTTACATTCAACCTTGGTAAATCAATTTGAGAGGCATGGTAACTCATAGATACGAAAGCATGAGAAAATACAACGCGAGTTGACCACCTAGTGCACTTCGAACCACTAACCACGACAGCAAAACAAAATGCAAACACGAATTGACCGGAATCATGCTGGGAGCGTGACATGATCAGTCTTGGCTGAGAA